AACATTCACTTTCTCGTTCCCGCAGTCGGCCATCCACCTTGCCTCTTCCTGGCTCCAATCCTGCCAGTCTTCAGGGCAGAGCATCTAGGCATAATCAAAAGGCTGTACCCAAGAGCAGTCCCACACATGAACAGTGCACCTTCACTGAACTGCCTGACTCAGAAAACCCCTTAAAAGGGCTTGGATCAATGGGGGATGGTAACTACTTCTTAAAACCTAAGACTCCTTACATCATAGAGGATGTGATTGAGAAGAGCCACAAACAAGCTGGAGGAGTTGATCTAAAGTGGAACTCTGTTATGGCTTCCTTAGGGGTGATGCCAAACCAAGAGGGCCCAATTAGACAGACAAAAATTAGGGAAAGCCCCCCTTTGGGGTATCCACCTTTTCTCATCCAATCCCATGGACAAAAAAATGACTGGGGGGGAATTCAAAAGACATCCATGTCTCCAATCATTGACCTTTCAGCTATTTCCCCACATAGTGCCTTACCTAATGAGTCTGTGTTTAACATGACAACTACTGATCCCCAGCTGAATCTCAAACAGGCAATTAAGCTGCAGTTTGAAGGGCCGACCAGTGCAGCACTTTACAAGCGGGAAACTCCGCTCTGAGGTGAGGCATTGAGCTTCACACATACAAGAACAATACATTTGTCTTGTAATTTGTCAGTTATCTAATAAATGTGAATTTTATTAATTGATTAAGATTTTATATTTCTATGTAGTATGTCCAAATTATGCGTTTTATCAGGCAGTTTTCAGATATGCCAGATTGAAGTAAACCACACTGTACTTTGAGCTGCAGTATTTATGATTGTGACTTGGAATGTCTGGAATTCTAATGACAACTTTGTCTGTTGTAGGAAAACCTGGGCATTTAGGATTTCAAGGAGGTGAGGGTTGTGTAGGTAATCACTGCACTGTGTGGGAGATGTTAAGAGTAGAGGAGGATGGCAGATGAAAGTGTTATAACACACTGACCTCCACCTCTCTTTAACCAATTGACCCCAAGGCACAAAAGAAGAGGGAAAGGCCTAGAGGAGCCTGAGTTCAAAGGCTCAAGCTGTGTACATTCCAGAGCTTTTCCTCCTTATGCCGTCACAATGGAGAGCAGCTGGCACTCTCTCATACTCTCACACAATTACAGGAAAATATATTTACATTCAGAGGGACACTTATGGATATTTCCTCTGCTGGTGTTGTGCATTTACAAAAGTTGACATATGTACCCCAGGGATTTTTGTGCACATTATAACTCGGCATGAATGACAACTTGTCATAGACCGAACAGCTGTTCACTCTTTTATCTTCATACACACACTTATTGTGCTCAGAAGTGCCACCTTTATTTTATGTTGTTCAAAAGAATGTGGTCAAAATTGGAAGGTGTCTACAATTAAAATACTATTTGTCTGTGATTTTCAGTACATTGCTCTGGTTTACACCCAGGCTTGGACTTGCTAAAAAAGGGCTTTATGTGCTGGATCAAGTCATTAGCAATGTTTGTGTCCTTTAAAGATGTTTCAGGACATAGATGTGTCACTACTTATTTACCTTGAGTTTTTAATTTTCACGTACTGTCATTGTCAACAGTAAACCAGTTGACCTATCAGCAAGGCAAATTAACATTTTAAAGCTTCATTCCAATTGAATTATATAGAGAGATGGGGAAAAGAAAGTGAAAAGTTATTGTTCTAAAAGCAGACAGGTAGTTAGGGAAGGATATGTAAGTGATCTCAAGTACATGCTTGTCAGAGGATGACTAGATTTGAATGGAAGGTCATAAAAACCTTATAGGTGTGACAGGAAGAGAAAGTGATGTGAATTTAACACATTGCCATAGGTAATTTATAGTGTTTTGTATGTTAAAATGAATTGAGATGCACTAATTAAAACAATGTATATGATTTTGTGTCTGTGCAAATTTGTATGGAGAAGAAACAAGCAAACCTTACACCCCTTTGGTTTGCATGTGTAACCCCTCCTGTACTACTCGCCTTACTCTGAGCAGGACTCGAATTGGCATCTCTGGCATGGGAGGCGATTACCATTTTTGCATTGTTACGATTTCATTGGTTTTATTACAAAATCAATGAAATCATAAGAGCTTCATAGTATAGTTCACCCCAAAATATCATTCATTCACCTTTATGCCTTTGGAAAGCAGTATGGTTTTCTTTCTTACATGGAACAGAAATATTTAGAGAGTTTGTTTTTTTGTATTGCTCTGTAGTGTACAGAAATGTAAACACAAGAATGATAGGCTTTGAAAATTGTGAAAGGAAAGTTTTTTTTTTAGTTTATAACTTTTAAGTTTTAGTCACTTACTTTAACAGAAACAATGTGGACAGGGACATGGACATTCATGATTAACAGAAAAAAAGATTTCAGATGTTTTCTGTCCTTTTGAGTTGGTGTGTAGCCTATATTTCCTCTATGGTTTAAATGTGAAAATGTCACACATTCTTCAGTGAGCTTTTGCTTATTTGTACATCCTCAGTAATGGTTAACTCTTGTTTCTTCTCTCTCCCTCTGTCTGTCTCTCTCTCTCTCACACACACACACACACACACACACAGACACGTCTCTCCATGTGAGGGGTATTTTTTATTGCCTCTAAAGTTTACTTGCTACTTCCATAAACCCCCTCAAAGCAAACAACTGTGGCTGTGTGCAACAAGCAAAATTCTGCTACTCTTGACATTTTGCCTGTTGGTCATATAGCCACAAATATGGACACTGCTTATACTGTAATGTAGACACAATAGCCACAGGATTTTTACTGTTACAGTAAAACTGTTACACACAAACACTGCAATGAAAGGTTTATTATTATTATTATATGGATAGACCAAAGGTAAATTTCATTAAGACATGCGCAACACAAAACACTGTGACAAACTCTTCCTCTAAAGTTTGTCAACTAGAGAAAAGATCCATATTAATAATTATCCATAAGCACATCATTATAGGTTGCATGAGGATCTCAAATATGCAGCTGCATACTGAGACTTGTGGTAAAACTGTTACTGTTACAACAAGCTAGGACTCATAAACGCAATATCAAAAGGTTCGCTATGCCATTATCATCCATTTAAAATTCTCTTTGAAACATTTTAATTTCTCAGACTACGGAGACATTTTAAAGCATGTCATTTCAATTTTAAAAGTTAGTTATACGTGTTCTTTCTTTTTTTTATTCCAAGACCTAACTAGTCTTTACCCGGCTGATGTGGTTTGGGGATGCTAGACAAACTGCAAACTCAGGCATTCCTCTATAATGGACAACTTGCACTCAGTTCTTTTATAGGTGGGATTTTTCCCCCTGTAGACACTGCAGGACACATTTTTATTTGAGACGTTTTAAGGGCCATCTAATATTCCTTTCTAAATAACATTCTTTACTAGATGCTTTATTCATTGCAACCATTATATGGGATCTCTCAGACAAGATGGCGGTGTAAAACATTTTTACAGTAAGTCTTAATAAAGCACACTATAATATCTTTATTAAAATGATTAAAAATCTTAACAAAAGAAATGTATGTAATTTCCTACAACAATTCTAGAATGGAGCAAGTGGAACAGGTTCCCGCTTTCTGGGAAGTTCATCTACCCATGTTTTCTCACAAGTTCACATCCCACACTGATTAAAAATAAACAGATTATCTGCAATGAAAGTGTGTCTTAAACCTATGTCATTCATTGCACATTAGGGGAAAAGGGATGTGTGGACTTGTGATGAGAACCTTAGTTGAATTAATTCCGGATTCAGTCTCGCACAAAGTTAAAGACGAGGTTCCGCTTCCTGACAAGGAGACACCACATCCTCTTAGAGCGTAAACAAGGGAGAGGAAAACATTTCTATTGAATAACAAACCATTTAGGGCACAGGAAGGATATCACAAAGCATGAAACATATTTCTTTAAAAAGATTCTGTATGAAATGAGGAGATAAACTCTTATGTAGACCATCCTGGTCTTTGTGAACAAGCCAAAAGAAAAGGAGGAGGAGGAGGAGGAGGAGGAGGGGAGGGGAGGGGAGGGGAGGGGAGGGGAGGGGGGGGGGGGGGGGGGGGGGTCAGACAACAAACTGCCATGTTGTCATATGACTTCAGTAGACTTGGAAAATAGCACACAGGTCATATGGCGAGGGGGGATAATAATTAAAACATTCCAGTGGCGCTGGTTCACTTTTTAAGATTTCAGTCTTACCAAGAATATTTCACATTCAGCAGTTAAATTCCTGTTGCTATTCCAGGTGTGAGCAGATTAATGATGAACAGAAATGCTCAAACAGAAAAGCTTTTTTAATGTTATATCTTAAGAACAGTATAAAAGACATTAACACATGTAAATTTATATATTTTAGAAAGCACAAAATGTATACATTTGAACAGGAGCCTTGTTCATTATATGCATCTACGTTATGAATGGTTTAATATACTTTAAGCCATTTTATTTTTAATGCCATACTTCATTCATGAAAGATCCTTTCCAAAGCATTACAAAATGCATCAACATGTGCATGTATCATTACTGCCTCCTGCTGGTAAGGTTCTTTGGTTTCAATAGCATATTGTCAAAAAGTCATGTATTGTGAAAGAAATTACAATCTATAAGCAATAGAAGCAACCAGAGATTCAAAACTAATGTCAAGACACACTCTATGAAAATCTACATTGCAACATGCCAAGTTTTTCATTTAAAAAAAAAGTCAATAAAATGTCACACAAAAGTCACACACACCACCTTCACCCCTACAAAATATACCACAAAATATTACTCTGGTCAAAAACTGGTCACAAGTGAATATGAATACTGAATTATCAAATGGGTCATGCTGCAGAGTGCATGGTTAATTGGTATGTAGATATTAGGGATTTAAACATTTTTTAAATAAACATCTAAGTAAATATAGTATTCATCTCTACTGTTGTCGAGCCCTATATACCATGCATTATGATATTGCACTAGCAGCAATAGTAAATTAAATATATGTTGCCAAATACTCATCTCATACAGTGACATCTTTCTTTTGAATCTTGAGCTTTGTAGTAACCTCATTTGTACTGATACATTTTAATGCAGTGGTGCACGCTATCTGACACAACCAGGAGATCATGTGGTAAAAGTGCCAGTCCACGAGGGCTGCTCAGTCCATCAGACACAATCACTCGTCCTGCCCCTTCAGAAGGATAAAGAAGCACTCTATGTTTTTCTCCCCAGTCTGCCACCAACACAGCCCCATCCTTATCAATGCAGAGGCCCCAGGGACAGGAGAGTACGGGCCCTAAGCTGGAACACACACCCAGGATTCGTAGGGTGTCCCATCCTGGTCCTAATATCTTCACACAAGGCTCCTGCCCCGTTTCACTGCCTCGCTCAGACACTGCGACCAGACCAGAGTGGAGGCATGCTGCAACCAGATAAGGCCTGTGGAAACCGGTCACCACAGTGCGTTCCAATCTGGAACCAGTTTTAGGTTCAAGTTTTAGTGCAGTAAGAGTACCCTTTCGTATATCTGCAACTAGGAATTCATCTCTTTGGGTGACTGTCACTCCCCTTGGTGCTTCCAACTCATCTCGAGGCACTCCTGCAATGTAGGGTCCTCCTCCAAATGTTTGGAGGAGACGCCCATGCCGACTTAGGATCAGGAGAGCCCTCTCAGCTGCACAGCTCAAAGCAATCAGACCCTTTGCATTAACGGCCACATCAAAGTAATTACGGCAGCGTCGCGAGGAGCCTCCTAAGTCGTTACTTGGAGAAGTCACTTGTTGTAGGATGTTGCCATGGGCATCAGTTACCTGGACACGAGCATTCCCACAATCCACAATGAACAGTTGACCTTGTGGTGTTGCGTGGACACCACTGGGCAGCGTGAGATCAGCACGTCCTGAGCCTTGTTTACCAAACTGCCGGACAAGGCGCACCTCCTCTGGTGCCAATGATTCCTCATCCTCCTCTAACACTAGGAGGGCTGGCTCACTCCTCTCTCCCTGCATTCTGTTCTCATTTAGAGAATTATGCCGTCCTGCTGTAAGGTGGTTTAGTCTTTTCTGAGATGAGTTATCGATAACAGACATAGAAAGCGAACGAGGCACTCTACTGGAGAAAGTAGCATGTGGTTGGGAGCTCTTTTGAGAGAAGTTACCATGACTGGGACAGGATTTAGTCCTTGACACCTCGCTTTGTTTTTGGAAGGTGGAACTTGAGGACATATGACTCTTGGAAACAGTCCATATGCTTGATTGCGGTGTTCTGGTTTCACTGAGGGGTCTGTTACAGTAGGAAAGGTCAGCAGCTGATCTGGAGAGGCGAGCAGTAGGACGCAGGCAGTTGGAGAAATCCCTTGGGGAGCTGACAATGAAAGTGTACCCAGAATCTACACTGTCTGCAGGGGATGGTGCACGGTTTTGTGGGTGGTCATCTGAGGATGCACTTAATTGGGAGCAAGACCTGCCATGAAAGAAGTGGCTGTTGCTGCCTTGACTAGAGATGATCTCTCTGGGGATTTGTGGTGATGAGTGTGTGCCATACCTTGATGTTTCTCTTGAAGATCCGGTCCTTCTGGCATGATTTTTATGGTCAAACTGATTCAAGAACCAGCCACCTTGTTCTTGGTGACCTTGCTCTGGAGATGGAGAGAGTTCTTTTTGCCTTTTTGCTCTCTTTGAACCAAACTGTGTGATTGGTTCATTTTGTATACAAGCAAAATCCTCACCGTCTAACTCACCATGACTAAGGGATGGTACAGCCAAGAAGAGCTCATCTCGTTTGCATTCAGATGTAGGCGATTCACACTCATCCTCCTGTGATGAATCACGTTCACATGGGACTTGTTTAGGGGACCAGTGACGCAGTTGTGGGGACTGGCATTTTACCTCTTCTCCTGATTCATCATCACTTCGGGCTGACAAACGGAGCTTCCGGACAACCCTCAAGTTGCCACTAGTTGATGAGTGCCTTTGGTTCTGCCCAGGAATTGTTCCATCAGGCGAGCTCTGGCCTTCTCCACCGACATGAGCCCCACTGCGTATTTCATGGAGGGAACACATTTGCCCCAACTGCCCACAGCCTCCAACAGGAATATGAACATTGTGATCTTGCACATTGATCTCACCAAAGGTTACAGCGTTTGGTTGGGCACTTGGTTTAAAAGATACACGTTTGAGTGTAAGTGAGACTTCCCAAGGCTGGACAAGTTCTGTAACGCCCTTAAGAAGCTGGTCCCGCTTCTGATCCCCCTCTCGATTTTTACTACCATCACCACCACAACTTTTCCTTATTAGCTCTCGAAGTTTAATGACTTTATATAATCGCTGGTCTACTAATCTTTGTCCAACCCTTATGGCTGCTCCATTCTCCCTCTGCACCTGTTCAAGTCTGCGCTGTAGATCCCTGTGATCCTGTTCTACCCTTTCCAGTAGACGGTGCTCCTCCCTTTGTGCTCCAAGCAGTGCACGCTCCACACCCTGAACTACTGTCTGCGCTTCAGTCACTTGTTGCTCCCGCAGACGCCTGAGGTCTGTTTCACATCTTGCCAAATCACATAGGGCCTGGGTAGCCCAACATGGTAAGGAAAACGAAGATCCTACAGGAGTAGGCTTTGTGTCCTCATTACCTTCTATATCTGACTGTGCTGATGGGCTTAGAGGGGGCTGTGGAGATGTACTACGGGAAGTCTTGTTGCTCACTGGAGAGCCAGCAGACATCTTTGCAGAGAATTTGTAGAGGCTATTTGCAGAGGCTTGTATCAAGGCCTATTTTGGACCTGTTAATAAAGGTACAGAAAAAGAGGGGTTAATATTGAGGCCATTAGAAAAATTAGCTTCATTGCACTAAAATGTATTTAATATGAAGGTATTTATCATTAAAAAAAGATTATCATGGTACTCACATAATTTTTGAACAATTGTCAAAAATTTGTATAATTGTCTTTGTATAAGTTATAACTTTGTATAATAACTTAATAGAACATTCAAGCACAAAACAAACTGAGGTTATGAAATTCATCAAATTTCAGGGGGAAAAAGACGTAGTTGCTCTGCTGCAACCTATGGCAACCACAGTCATGACAACAACAGGCATAAAAACAAAGAAAACAAAACCAAAAAAAAATTGACATTTAAAAAAGCAAGAAAAATGGTTGCTTTTGGCATTAAATATTCTAATTGGATGATCATCTTGATTGTTCACAGGTGTTTCTTGTTAGTCATTAATCTTGATGTAGCCTATAAATAGCCCTCATGTTTCCATTGTATCTTGTTTAGTTTTGTTTGTGTAACCGCCATCTCTCGTGTAACTAAGTCAAATTCACGTTTTTTGCCGTGTCGTGTCCGTGTCCGTGCCGGTGGCCGGTATGCCTGTGTCGGTGCCGGTGTCCGTGTCAGTGTGCCATAGTCATGTTTCCTGTTTGTCATGTGTTCCCTTGCCATAATGTGATTGTGTTTTGCTTCCCTATAGTCTTGTCTGTCATAGGGGCGATATCACGATTTTTGATCGTTGGCGATTCAAATGTCTCCATGATCTGCTTTTGAAGAAATATCGTAGTATCGTGCATTCTATCAGTTGCAGTTCTGGAGCCTCCATCCCAACATATTGTAGCTGCAATGCGATGTACATTCACATCACAATCACATGTTAACGCAGAGGTAGAGTTACACTCAAAGGATTCTGCTATTCACAAAAGTTTATTATTTGCATGTAGGCTATTGTAAAGCCTTGCCGGTTAAACATTTCATTCGTGTTACAATAAATTAGATACAGATACAAAAAAATGGCACATAACTATAAAATATAACATTTACTTATCTAATCATGTAGGCCCTACATGTAGGCTATTAACGACAACAGCTAATCAGCTGTTCTCCTAGAGGGTTGCTGTAGAACGTCACGAAGTAGCATTTAAAGTCGCGCATGCGCAACAGAATGCCGTTGCCGTTCCATCAGCAGCTGTCCCTATTCGCTCAATTATTGCAATGTTATGCAATTAATCTTACGATCGTTAACGCTGTTATTACATCAAAATATAGTTCTGGATTATATCCTGAGAAAAGTAAAAAAAAAATTAACAAGCTAAACAAAGAAGCAAACAAACAAAATGCATTAGGAGAAATATAATTTAAAAAAAGTTTTCATCTCAACCTTTTTTAATGTTATATCTGAGATGTTTATTGGAGACAAAAACACAACACTCAACCCATTGTTTCAGGCTCTTGTACTGACTGAAAGTAAAAAGCTTACTCTGGGAATTTGATATGGTTTGCTGTCTTGAGGCTGAACACATTTGAGAGGGCAGATCGTGAAACAAGACCAGAGAACAAAGGATGCACATTTTGTTTGTCTTCTCTGACTGTCTTTATATAATCGATTATATATTATTATTATTTCTATTATTTTGCCTAGTTGCAAAGAAAATATTTCTTATGAGAAACTCTGACAGAACTGAGGAATTGAGGGAACCAATGATTAGTAAGAGAGACTACTAGGAAAACACAGAGAAAGTGTGGCAGACAGACAAATGCAAGCAAAGGCGAGGGAGAGACAGATAGAAGAAAGGGAGTCAGAATATTTCTAGCACTGATATCATTAGCATTTCAAATTCAGGGAGGCAGACAGTTGAACGAAAGAGGACAGCATATATGTGGGAGGCAAAAGACAGACTAAAACGGAAAAAAAAATGTCATCAGAAAACGAATCGGTTACCTAACGTAACCTCGGTTCTCTCTAGAAGAGGGAACGAGTATTGCGTAAGCTAGCTTACGCTGCGGGAAAGATTCATCTTTGCTGAGATATTGAAGCCAAAAAATTATTTCATAATTTTGTATCCATACACAACGCAGTTCCTCTGCGGCAGACCTAGAGCGGGCTAGCTAGCAGCTCATTGGTTCGCTCAGAGAGAACTGCTTAAGCCTATGGGAGAGCGGGGCTGAACCCGCTTCCAATGAGAGGCGCCCGCGCGCTCATTGCGTCATGACCCGCCAGAATGGGCGTGGCCATGGTGTATATAAGGCGCTCTCCCAGGCTTATATGTTGATTTATTTCAGCGTGAAGCGAAACGCTAGTAGCGCAAGCACGGCCGGGAACGCAATACTCGTTCCCTCTTCTAGAGAGAACCGAGGTTACGTTAGGTAACCGATTCGTTCTCTTACGAGAGGTTCTCTCGTATTGCGTAAGCTAGCTTACGCTGCGGGAACACCTGGCCAACGCCGTGCGCGCTACGAATCCACTCATGAAAAACCCAGGGATATACCGGGGGAATTTCTTAACGTGGAGTGAATGTACAAAGAGGCCGCAGAGCGGGCTCATGAAGTGTACACATAAGCATGTATGGGGCCAGCAGAGCGGGCACATGAAGTGTATAAGCATTACAGGAGAGCACAAGGGGCGAACCGGTTGTGAGGGACCTCCAGAAATGCAGCTTCTTAGAGAGCTGTTCGTCAGACAGCTAGTAATTTTGCCTGCAAGGTGGGAACTTCCAAGTTATAAAACCTGACAAAAGTGGACGGGGAGGCCCATCCCGCGGCCACACAAATGTCATGAATGGAAATTCCACAGGACCATGCCCACGATGAGGCCATGCCTCTAGTGGAGTGCGCCCTGATGCCCAGAGGGCAGGGCAGGCATTTAGATGCGTAAGCAGAGGCGATAGCGTCCACTATCCATCTAGACAGTGTCTGTTTTGAGGCGGCCAGACCCTTGGTGCGCCCCCCAAACGACACGAAAAGCTGCTCAGCGCGTCTGAACGCGGCAGCGCGCGTAGTGTACAATCTCAGAGCCCGCACCGGACAAAGGAGATTGGCATCGCGCTCACTATCGGATGAAGGCAGAGCCGATAGGGAGATAATCTGAGCCCTGAACGGGGTACCAATCGCCTTCGGGACATAGCCATGCCTAGGTTTGAGAATGACAATCGAATCATTCGGTCCAAACTCAAGACACGCGGCGCTGGATGAGAGCGCGTGAAGATCCCCAACGCGTTTAACTGAGGACAGAGCCGTCAGGAAAACGGTTTTGAGCGAGAGGTATTTCAGATCCACAGACTCGAGCGGTTCGAACGGGGGTGCTTTCATAGCTTCAAGGACTATAGAAAGATCCCAAACCGGAACCGACGGGGGCCGCGGAGGGTTCATCCTCTTAGCTCCCCTGAGGAAGCGGATGACTAACTCGTCTTTGCCCAATGACTGAGCGCGTCGGGGTTCCGCGAACGCCGCGACGGCTGCCACATAAACCTTGAGAGTGGAGGGGGACCTGCCCTTGTCCAGCATCTCTTGAAGGAAAACAAGCAAAGACGGCACCTCGCACGACCGTGGGTCCAGCTGTTTGTCGGTGCACCATTTTGAGAACACAGACCATTTAGACGCATAGAGCCTTCTCGTGGAAGGTGCTCTAGCCTGTATGACAGTGTTTCTTACTCCCTCTGGCAAATCAACGAATAGTCGTTGATCACCCATGCATGCAGCGCCCAGCGCTGTGGATGGGGGTGCCAGATCGTGCCGCGAGCTTGAGAGAGGAGATCTGCTCTGACTGGGATGGGCCACGGGGCTGTCTGTGACAGCTGCGTGAGCTCCGGAACCCAATTCTGACTCTCCCAACGCGGGGCTATGAGGAGCACCGAGTGGCGTGTGTCCCTGATCCTCTGAATTACCTGTGGTAACAGAGCGATCGGAGGGAATGCATAGAGCGGGCGGCGAGGCCATTCCTGGGCTAGCGCGTCCTCGCTCTTCGAGAAATATATTGGGCAGTGAGCGTTCTCTTCTGACGCGAAGAGGTCTACTTCTGCTCTGCCGAATAGTCGCCACAGTAACTGGACCGTCTGTGAGTTCAGGGACCATTCTCCTGTGGAGATGAGGTTCCTGGACAGTATGTCTGGACCGTCGTTCAGATGGCCCGGCACGTGCGTCGCTCTGAGCGAGAGCAGGCGGCTCTGAGACCAAACTAGAATGCGGTGCGTCAGTCGACAGAGATTTCTGGATCTGACACCGCCCTGACGGTTGAGATAGGAGACCACGGCCATATTGTCCGAACGGATCAGGACGTGGTGTCCCTGGATGCGCGGGAGAAAGTGCGAGAGCGCGTTCTCGACCGCCAGCATTTCCAGACAGTTTATATGTAATGGGCTTTCCTGAATCGACCAGTGGCCGAAGGCCGGTGAGCCCTCGCAGACTGCACCCCAACCCGTGTTGGATGCATCTGTCGAGATGACTTTTCGGCAGGAAAAGGTCCCCATCGTGACGCCTAGACGAAACCATTCTGCTACTGTCCATGGCTGCAGCGCCGTGAGACACGTTTGCGTAACCCTGATCAGCTGGCGACCCGTGTTCCACGCGCGGTGGGGTACACGGCTGTTCAACCAGAACTGAAGCGGGCGCATGTGCAGAAGGCCCAGCTGAAGTACAGCGGAGGCTGAGGCCATGTAACCCAGCATCCTCTGAAAAGTTTTCAGAGGCCTGCGGGTGCCCATCTGGAACGAGGCGGCTAGACGCTGAACACTGCGCGCGCGCTGTGTAGACAGGCGAGCCGTCATCGTGACCGAGTCCAAATCTATTCCTAGGAAGGAAATCGATTGACTGGGATGAAGGGAGCTCTTTGTCCAGTTGACAGAGAGGCCCAGCGTTTCCAAATGGTCGAGGAGAACT